ATCCAAAAGAGAAACAAAGAACAAGGTTAAGGAGTACATGGTAAGAAGGGGGCAAGGAGAGGTTCAACCCTAACCAGCAGGCTCCAGGAAGGCCTCCTCGAGAAGGCGACATTTGAGTGGACAATTAAAGAGGCAAGGGTGCAAGCTATGGGTTATCTGGAAGAAGAACATTTCAGGCAAACACCTTAACAATAGAACAGCCTCAGAGGAACAAGAAACAGCAAAGAAACATCCAGCTTGGAAAAGAAGAAGTAAAGCCATCATAATTCTCAGATAACATGATCCATTATATAAAAAAAAATCTCAAAGATTATACCTTTAGAACTATTGATAAGCAAGTCTAACAAGGTCACAGATTATAAGATCAGAAATCAATTTTATTTCCATAGGCTAGCAATGAACACTCTGAAAATGAAATTAAGAATGCAATTCCATTCAAAAAGGCATAAAAAACCTAGTAACACACTTAACAAAAGAAGTACATAGACTATATATTAAATATTACAGAACGTCTTTTTACAGTAAAACATTTATGGGTACATTTTAGATTTACATAATGATAACATTCATCACAGGGAACTTTTACATGCATAAAAAAAAGTTTACTAACGGAAAAAAAATCTAAACAAAGTGACATCCCATGTTCTTGGATCAGAAGACAATATCAGTAAGATGTCAGTCCTTCCCATATTTGGTCTATAGAAGCAACACAATCCTATCAAATTTCCAACAGGCACTTTCTTCAGAAATTGGCCATCTGATCTTAAAATATGTATGAAGTTTGTAAATGGGGAGGTGAGGAGGGGATGAAGGGAGGGCAGGGACAAGGGGAAAAAAATGAGAACCAAGACCTGTCATGTAAAGGTACAAGATCCCAATAATGGGGCCAGGAATTTCACTCAGTGGTTCCGCCGTCTGCCCTGCAAGTACAAGGTCCTGAGTTCGATCCCTGGTACAAAAAAAAAAAAAAAAAAAAAAAAAAAAAAACAAGATCCCAATAATGAATGTAACTGTGCTTTATACCTAAAATGTACCAATAAACTCAATAAAAATATGCATGAAAATTAAAAACACTTCAAATAGGCAAAACTTGCTATAAACCTACAGTTGCCAGGACAGTGTGGTACTGACAAAGAGGAGATGTACAGATCAATAGAACAGAATCAGGAGACCAGAAGCAAGCCTTTATGTTTATGATCAATTAATTTTTTAACAAATGTGCTGAGACAGTTCACTGAGGGAAATGATAGCCTGTTTAACAAACAGCGTTAGAATAATTGGCTATCCATCCATAGGGGGCCAGCGCCGGCTTAGACCCTTGCCTCACGTCATACTCTAAAATGAACTCAAAATGAATCATTAACTTAAAGGTAAAAGCTAAAACAATAAAACCCAAGAAAATACATGGTGAGGAGATAATATCTCCAAAACCAGATTTTAAGATTTTTGACTTTAAAAACCACCATTGTATGTGTGTTAACACCCTTGATTGTGGTCGTCATTTCACAATATATATATAAAATCATCATATTGTATACTTTATGCTTATATAATTTTATTCATCAGTTAGTTATACCTTAATAAAGTTGGGGATGAGCGGGATCATTAAGAAAGTGAAAAGACAACAAACAAACTAGGAAAAAATATTTGCAAAACCAAAACTATTTTCTTTTTTCTTTTTTTTTTTTCTTTTTGGTTTTTGGTTTTGGCTTTCTTTTGAGACAGGTTCTCACTATGTAATTCAGATTGGCCCTGAACTCACTATGTAGCCCAGGCTGGCCTTAAACTCACAGAGACCCTCCTGCCTCAGCCTCCAGAGAGCTGGGATTACAGGCATGCACTACCATGCTCCACTGCAAAACCAAATTTGATAAAGGTCTTACATTTATGTTCAGTAATTATAAAGAACTTTGATGATAAGAAGACAACCCAATCAAAAGGTGAACAAGGGCCAGGGATTTAGCTCAGTGCTTCTGTCACCTGCCTTGCAAGCACAAAGACCCGAGTTCAATCCCTGGTACCAAAAAAAAAAGTAAAAAAAGTGAACAAGAGACACATACAGACATTTCTCAAAGGAAATTATACCAAGTAGCTAATAAACACATAAGCAAGTATTCAACACCACTAGCCATTAGGGAAATACAGATTAAAACCACAATGGACTACTATTTCACACCCACTAGAATGACTATAATCAAAGGATTGATAATGATAAAGGCAGGATATGATGTAGGGAAACAGTTCTTAGGCCAGGTGTGGTGGCGCACGCGAGGCTGAGGCAGGAGGATTGCTGTGAGTTCGAGACCAGCCTGGGCTACATAGTGAGTTCCAGGTAAATCTCAACTACATAGTGAGACCCTGTCTCAAAAAACAAACAAACAAACAAACAGTTCTTATATATTGCAGGTGAGAGGCCAGGAATGTAGCTCTGTGACACTATGCCTTCCTCGAAAGTACAGGGTCTTGAGTTTGATCCCCAGTACTGGAAAAAAAAATTCCTTCAATATTGCAGGTGAGAATATAAAATGGTATAGCCTTTTAGGAAAACAATTTAAAAAGTGTTAAATATAAAATTAATATATGACCCAGCAATTCCACTTCTAATTATCTATCCAAGAGGGCCAGGGATTTAGCTCAGTGGTTCTGCTGCCTGCCTTACAAGTGCAAGGTCCTGAGTTTGATCCCCGGTACAAAAAAAAAAAAAAATTAACTGCCCAAGAGAAATGAAAACTGAAAATATATCTACACAAAACTTGTAAGTCAATGTTCATTTCAGCATTTTTATAATAGCCCCAAACTAGAAACATCTTAAAATTCCACCAGATGGTAAATGAATAGGTGAAATGTGGTCTCTCCATACATCAGAACACTATTCAACAATAAAACACACATACCAGGGCCAGGGATTTAGCTCAGTGGCACCATGCCTGCCTCACAAGTGCAAGGTTCTGAGTTCAATCCCCAGTACCAAAAAACAAACAAACAAACAAAAACCCCACATATCATATGGTTCCACCTATTTACCAGAAAAGGCAAATTTAGAGAGTAAATAGATCAGTGGTTGATTTGGGCTAGGGTGGGAATGCTGAATTGTGTACGTGAATAGGGTAAGTTTTAGAGTATTAAAAATGTATAAGGGAGAGGTAGAGGATGGAAAAAATACAATGTACCACAAGAATCTATGTTTTAAAAAACGATTCAAGGTTCAGTTTTTTATGGTAATGCTTTATTTATTCTGTCCATTCATAATTATATTTGAGAATATTGACATTATTAATGGAACTTGATCTAAGAGAAATTGAACACTTTTGCATCTCAATTTTTTTTATTAATGGAAAAGTTAGTAAAAGTAATTATGAGCTAAATTATTGTCAAAAAGTTAGAAGTAAATACTTGGTGTTAGTACAGTCACATATAATTCAGTGTCAGTGTCCAGCTACAAGAAAGAACCTCTGGTTTCAGTCTCTCTTAGGAATATCTCTCAGTGTTGGGATGGCCTCTTCTTGGTGTTTCTTCTGCAGCTGATTTTTAGCATGGTTTTCTATGATCTGTGAAAGGAGTTGAGTCGGTGTTTATGAGCAGGTGTTTATGTTAATTCCAGTAGGAGTACACAGCTGATTACTAAGGAGGCAGGCAGGTTATACAACTTCCCAATGTTTTTGAGGCCTATTGGTTAAGCCCAAGGAGTTTAGTCAACATTCTACCATAAAAATCTACAGGGGATAAAGGGTAAAGGAAAATTGGGAATTTAAGTAACAAACAAGGCCATAAATTGCTTTCTGGCCACAGCTACCTTGAAGTGTTTTCGTTTCTCCCTATGATTTTAGACAAGCTCAGTGCCTGGTTCTGTGGGCAAGTGCTGGGCAGGGAGCTGTAGAGGACAAGAGTTCAAGGTTCAACTTGACATTCAGTTTGCAGCTGACCCAGGAGAACTTCCTCCCTTGTGATAGGCTGGGAGAGCTCCCACCTCTTTTGGCATGGAGTGCTGGTCACTGCATGTGGCGGTTCCATAGCACGTCTCACCATGAAGGATTGGTTGGGCTCTCTGCTTGGGAGTAAATAGTTTTTGTTCTCGAACAAAGTCCAAGACATACGGGACTTCATAAAGGGTGACCAAGTTAATGAGTAAATGAGACGGGGAAATCAGTACCAAGCAGACAGAGGATACCACTTCTGGATTTTATGTCACTAGTGAGGTCTTCGATTGACACCTATATTCATGTGCGACCAAGAAAAAAGAACATAGCAAAAGTACAATATATTTAATATAATGTGATTGTAAACTGTATAAGGCAGTTCTGGTCAAGAGGAAGAAAAGCCTACTTACATGTGAGTGAAGAGACTTGATAATCTCTTTCTTGAAAAAGGTTGGCAGAGAACAGAAAATAAGAAGAGAAAAAAATGTAGATACATGGAAATCTTGGCTGGAAAACCAGATGTATCTGGATGGTAATAATATATTTTATGAAAAAGACAGGAGGGAGAAAGGGAAGGAAAGAGAGAGCGAGTGGCTGGTGTGACCAGAGCAGGATGCAGAGAGGTCTGGGATCAGATCTTGGAGGTGGTTGAGAGGACTGGGGCTTCTCCTCTGAGGGAGCAAGAGCCCTGGAGAATGTGGGCAAAGCAACGGCCCAATTACTGCAGAGGGACAGGCCTGGTTTCATTGAAGTGTGAGACGAGTTCACAGAGCAATGTCTAAGCCCACTACTAATTGGTGCCGTGATTGCGATTTTATCCCCTTAATACCTGGGAGCCCAAAGAGGCTAAGAGCTTCTCCAGGCCACAGCTGTCTCTCTAGTGGCCTGTGGGAGCCAGGCTAAGCCAGCCCCTGCCCTGGGGTCTGCTCTTGGCCTCAGGAGTGTGAGGCAGTGGAGGACAGAGTTCACGGTAACGTGCCACCTCCCACCTCAGTTTCCCCAACCTCTGAATCTGTGCTCCATCTGGGGATGCAGGAGGAGCAGCCTCTGCATGAGTCACTCAGGCCTCTGGAGGAGCAGGGCCTGCATGGCCTGAGCCCAGTACCGGAGCTGGAGCTTCACAGTCTGCAGTTACTTCAGGCTTCCGTGCAAGGCAGGTACTCGTGGTCACTTGTCACAGGCCACACCGTCGTGGGCAATAGGGATACAGGGCGAGCGAGACACCTCTCCGGACCACACAGATACACACGCACACACACACACAGACACACCAACGGTGTTACACACAGAGAGACACACAGAAACACACACAAAAACCTACAAGACAGACACAGACATACACACACACACGGAGATGAAAAGCACAACTACATACAGACGAAGTCACTCAGCACACACACAGATACACACAAACACAGAAATCCACAGACACACATAGCGATAGACAATACACACACATTCAGTCACACACAAACTTACACCCACAGACACAGACACACACGAAGACACGTAGAGATGTGTACCCTGGTGCGCAGACACATGCGCACGTGCGCGCGCACACACACAGTATTATTCATAAGCTACCCAATTGTCAGACACCACATTCCAGAATGGGGTGTGTGGTTGTAGAATTTTTCTTGTAGAAATGAACAGAGTGGTGGCACTGGCCTGCCTCATTCAAGAAATGCTGGGCAGGCTCATCACCAGACAGACCGTTCCTGGGTTCCGAGGCAGGCCACCTTCCTATCGCCTACTGACAGCTTTTTTTTGATGAACAGAGGAGAAACCTCAAGCCCTTGCAGCTCTCCCTCTGGCTTAGTAATCTTCCCCGGAACAGAGAGACACACTGTGACGCTGTGATTACAATGAAAGGACGTGTCCCTCCTCTCCCCTCCCCCATTTTTCAAGAGAGACCTTTGTACTGTGAAACCCTGAAGTGCTAGCTTTTACCCAGGTCCCTGTGCAAGGGCAGCTTCTACTCCTAGCAGCTAGGAGAAGCCCAGTGTGGTATTCCTGGCCCCAGCTCTGTGCCTGGGGTCTTCAGAAAGCCTGCATGCACAGTGTCCTGCCTCAGAGCCCGGGTTGGGGGGCTTTTAAAATCTTCCCAAGGGTTCTCATGGAACTACTTACTTCAACACATGTTACTGAGAGGAAAAAGCAAGTCAAGATCTGCACAGGGCTTGGCACATAGCAGATGTTCAATATTCTTTCACTGAGAGATTCATGCACAAGGTGATGGCTCACCCTTTTCGTTGTGGGGGGCAAAGTTGGTACAGCCAGGTGTGATGGCACACGCCTGTAATCCCAGCACTTGGGAGGCTGAGTCAGGAGGATTATGGTGAGTTCAAGGCCAGCCTGGGCTACATAAGACCATATCTCAAAAAACAAAACAAAACAAAACAAAAAGGAGGAGGAGGAGGAGGAGGAAGAGGAGGAGTTGGAGAAGGAGGAGTTGATGAAGAAGAGGCAGAGGAGATGGGGAAGAAGAGCAGAAGAGGAGGAAGAGGAAGGAGAAGGTGATGAAATTGGTATGTGTAGGACAAAGCTGGTGAGGTCTTTCTAGAGGGTGGGTAGGGCTGAGGGGCACTTACACTTTCCCACTTGTACATTTCCCTGACATTGGTACCTTTCACTCCAAGCACATGTCATTCTTTAAATTAATAATAATGCAAATGATTTGCCAGCTGTTCAAGAACCCACGCATCACCTGTCTTTCACTTCCTTTTTCTGTACCTATGTATTCAAGGCACAGGAAACACCCATAAATAGCCTCAAAAAGGACAAGCAAAAGTGGCAGCCTAGTCAGGGAGTTGAAGCCTGCGGGGGCTGAGCTGCTAGGTTAAGGACTCCAAAGCCACTTCAAAAGTCCCTGGGCCCAGACCCTGAAGTGGGTCGGGTTAACTGAGAAGCTGGGACTTAACAGGGGTTCAGTAGGCGGGGGAGCGGTGTCCTGGCTTCCTGAGCCAGCTGCGCTCAGCATTCCCCAGGGTCATGGTCACAGGGACAAGTCATTCTGGTGACCTCACCCTGACACAGCCACTAGACCCTGCCTCTGAGTATTTGAGAGAGCGCCAGGCACTGGGGTGCTGACGGATTACCAGAGGCTTCTTTATCTGTTGCAAAGGCCACACAGGGCTCTGTGAGGGCCATGTCAGGATTCTCTTGCTGCCAGTGGTGACACTGAGGCCAAGCTCTAGATCCCCGGTCTCTGGAACTGAGCTACACAGGCCCAGGGGCTCAATCCCCAACCCACAGTGTCCCTGTGTCTCTATCCCTGGGGTCCTTATTAGACTCAGAGCAGGGAGTCTTGGGAAAGGGCTCAGAAACTTCACTTACAGAAGCACTGAGATCCCCACCCTAGCCTGAGGCTTCCTGGAGCAGGCCCAACACCTGCTCCCACCTAGAAGCACAGGAGCTGCCCCAAGGGAACACTTGCTCCAGGCCAGGTGCACAGGGAAATTAAAGCCTCAACCGCTCTCAGGGCTACAGCAAAATTATTTCCATGGGCATGGTGGCACATATCTTAATCCCAACACTTGGGAGGCTGAGGCAGAAGGATTGTCTTGGGTTCAAAGCCAGCCTGGGCTATATAGTGAGTTGAAGGCCAGCCTGAACTGCAGAGTGAGAGCCTGTCTCAAAAAAAAGAGAACATCAGGACTCAGAACCATATAATCAAATGACCAGGGTCCCTGCAAAAGGGGCAAAGTCAAGTGCCATGACCCCGAAATGCAGACCTCATAGTGCTCCCAGCATGCCTGAACGGTGTAGGAGGCTGAGAACTTTCTTCCCAGCTTTTCTTTCCCCTCCCTTCAGGTCTCAGTCTCGGCCTTCTCCCTGGGTAGGCCAGGCCAGGCAGGCCCGCAGAAGAATCTGGAAGGAGGAGAACCACAGCAGGCCCTCTAGACTTAGGCATGGGCTGAGTTAAGTTGGGCTTCAGGCTGGAGCTTTTCAAAAGTCAAATCTGAGCCAGGAGCCAGGCTGACCTCTAGTCCTCTTGTCCCTGAAGCCAGAACATGTCTCTCCCACCTCCCTCTTTCTTAGAAGTCTTCTCAGCCTAGTACTTCCTGAGGCTTTTGCCACAGTGCAACCTGCTTAACCCCTCACCTCCCGTTCCTCAGACCCCAGAGGGGAAAGGTCACAGGACTGCAGGGGTCCCGGGGCTCGAGGGAGAGATCAGGCCTCCCTGGCTCTGGAGGCTCCATTTCAGGCTAATCTCTTATCCAGTGCCCTTAGATAAGGCACTTAGTCTCTTGGAACCCCAGTTTCTTCCAACAACAAGTGGAATTGACCATAGCAACAATTTTGAAGGCATTGATCTTGCCCCTTGCTTCATTGTTCAGATGGGGAAACTGAGGCCCAGTGAGGGGCAAGGGCTAGCGATGGTGCACCAAGAAGAGAGCAAAAATCAGAGTCCTTGACTTTAACCCCAGCCATATCCCTCTCCTGGCTGAGCATTCCAACTGAGGCTAATCTGCTTACCTCTGGTGCCCAAGAGGGGACAGACTGGAAAGGCTAATTTCTCTTCACCCAGAGTCCCCTGCTCAGTGATTGCCAGCACCAAGGCTGACCTTACTTCCTCTGTAGGCCCCAGGAAGCTCAGGCCTTGTTGAAGTATGGCTTGAAAATAAGCCACGACTAAGTGCTAGGTCCAGGGTACTGGGCTGTGCACCAGGAGAATATGAGGCCACAGAAGTGACGCAGTGTGAATCAGTGAGGAAGGTGACACGGGCAAGAGGAATTGGGACGGCAGACCAGTGCAGGATGTCCCAGGCTTGGAGCCATACTGTCCAGGGTCAAGTTCTAGTCCGACCATGGAGTAGCTGTGGGACCTTGAGAAAGCGCCATAGCTTCTCTGGGCCTCAGTTTGCTGGGCCCACGGAGCACCCACTCCATAAGTTTGTTGTGAGGATTATTAGAGAGATCTATATGCCTGAACTCTACAGTCAGGGCTCATTAAATGGTGGCCATTGTTACTTCTGGAATAGTTGTCTTTACACTTGGCCTTAGCCAAAAGGCCAAGAAGCGATGGAATAGTTGTCTCTGAGGCACACACTTGCGCACATAAGCACGTGAGTTCCCAGATATCTGTATCGTTTCCCACAGCAAAGCTGTCCTCTTGACTCATGGGGGCCAGGCATTCTGAAAGGCTGTGGCATTTTCCTAGTGCTGCTGTTAATTCCCTCCAGACTCCAATCAGGCTTCATTCCTGCCTAGAGTGGTCACGTAGCAATTCCCAGGGAGACAGGAAGGCCCATGTGTATCCTCATTCTAAATGGCCCCAGTTCACTGGGTGAAGAAAGGTGCCTACCATCCTGGACGGAGGAGTAGGAGCTTCAAACCTGGCTCTGTCTTTTGCTTGAAGTAGCGTCCCTTGGGACAATGCCTTCTCGCCTGTGGGCCTCCACGTCCCCACTGGTAATATAAGGAAATGATCTAAAATAAGATTCTGATCTCCACTGTCTGTTTGATGGCGAAGACTCTCTGATTCTATTTCTGCATCAACAGCATCATTGTCCTCACAATAGCTAGCATTTATTGAACACCTGCTATACACCAGTGACTAACCTCTGTAACCTCTACCATAGTAACTGCCAGTCGCTAAATGCCACACTCCCCATCCCTGGGCATGTTGTAGACCCTACCACTGGATCCAAACAGCCACCTTCTGGGTGGGTGCCACAGTTACCTCACCATGAGGTAACCGGTGCCACCCAGTGAGATGACTTTATTTGGCTGGTCAGTGGCCAGTGTGGACCCAAAACCACTAAGCCATGCCCAACTTCCTCAAACCCTGTGAGGAAGGAATTATTATCTCTATTGTCATGATTAAAAAAAAAAAAAAACTACAGTCCAGAGAGGGGAAGTGACTCAGCACATGTCAGTCAGCCTGTTTGAGATGATAGCCCCCAAGGTTATCCTGCTTCTACTCTCTACCTTCTTCGTGTGTGTGTGTGTGTGTGTGTGTGTGTGTCCCCGTCTGTCTGTGTGTCTGTGTGTGT